TGTGGGGGGAGTATGGATATTTTCTGGAACTGAACAATGTTAGTTTTGCTTTTTGTGGTCAATTTGACATCATAATACATTGAAAACAGTGTTGTTTCTCTTTGAGGTCGTAAAACTATAGGAAGTCAACTTAGAGTACTACTAAGAGATATTTTATTAAGACACAGTTGGACCAAGATTTGGCAGAAAAAGGTTAAATGATTAAATAGCAAATGCATTGCCTGCAGAGTCATTTGTATGTGTATTTATATTTAAAGCAGACTGGTGCAGGGGTTTCATTAACCTTTTCAGCAGGAGGGCAACTAGCTTTCATAGGCGGGCAGAACTTTTTGAACTGAACTTCTTTATATCAGAAATAATCCAACTTTGTTTACAATTGATTAATACCTTTGGTTGTAAAAATGAGTTTTAATGTATCATGCTTGAATGTAATTTTGCTGCCACATACTCTAAAACAGCTACATCTGTAAGATAACAAAGACAAAGACATTTTTCTCACTGTTACAGCTTCTAAACCAAATATAAAGTTATGAATATCAATATATTTTTTTAGAGTCGGATGATAGTTCGTGACAAACTGATGTCACGTTATGGCCGAAAGAAGCCAATTGTTAGTCGTGGACGATACCTCTTCGAGCTGAATTTTGGGCAACCAGAACACCGGAAACATCCTCATTTCTTTACGTTAAACTGTAGCAGAGTAACTGTAGTTTCACTAGTTAAAAGGTAAAGCTGATTCCTGTATCACAAATTAGTTTTTCGGATATTCACAAAAACGCCAGCCCTGTTAAGCTGGAGTAGCCGATAAAATAGCATTGCCAGTGAGTATGATGAAATCAAATGCGGGGATATTTTGTTTCATAAGGTTTCTAACAACAAGGGTCGGCTGGAGTAAACTTTCACTCAACTTTAATCAAATGAACGCTTTTCATCAACAGTAGAGAACAATGCCGCTCATTTTAGGAGCTGTAAAACACGAAGCGTTATAAACTAAATTTCTACAATTGAATTCCAACCTCGAATCATTCATCTGACAAATACTAAACAGCGGAACACCGGAAACCAGGTACGAAATTCTGCCAGGGCATAGTGTACACATCAAACAGTCACCCATTAATGGGAATTCACATATCACAAAGGAACACAAAAGTCTTGGAGGTTTGAAGACAAATTTTAACTTTGAGGTAAAAGAAAAAGTACATTTATCCATCATCACATTCACTTCACTTGAAAATGAAATTGATTACCTCAAAAACACAAAGGTACCCAGAATATGAAAAAATAACTTCATAGCAATGCTGGACTTGAATTTAGTGAAGGATTGCAGAAATAAGGAATGGTGAGATTTTCTTGTTTAACCACACTTTGAAATCAAAAATGAGAACAACATGGTTTCCTCATCTCCGCAAGATGAGATGAATAAAAATCTAAAATGTACGCTCAAGGAACCAGTAATACGTTTTACTTACCACGGTAGCCATGTTCCTTTTGTTTGGTGTCAAATAAGGCCTGTAGTACTCTTTGGAGTACTACAAAAAGGAATCAACGCTTGCTTTGCTTCATCTTTGTTGCAAGGAAATCGCCATCTTTGTCGATGACGTGTGCACGAAAAGCTGTTTATCAACCCTAAAATTGCTATAAGTGATATGAAACGAGCATTTTGCTCTTCGCTTTGAATTGCTTTTCATGGTAACATTCTTTACATGACTTACTGAGGACCTATTAAAGAATGATTCTCCTTTGAAGGTTTGGTTGTTAAATTCAACAGTACCAAAAACCGCATGCTCAAGCAAAAGTGCAAAATCAAACAAAACTTTTTTACTTTTTCGTGCATGGACAGACAAAAGTCTCCCTTGCTCACAAACTCTGTAGTTATTCCCCAGAGCCTCGTGCTGATGTCTATTGTTTTAGGCTGAATATTAATGAATCGAAATTGGTCTATTGACTCCCCCTGATTAAACTTGAAAACTACACTTATTCATGTAAATCACTTCTATTGGCAATTGAGGCACCAAATGGTAATATTGGTTCTTCAATGTTCGGGATATTGGTGCAAAGCATACAAAAAAATACTTCATTTCCATTTTGAAACTTAATGGTTTGCATCTTACCAAAGTTAGGTTCTAGTTTCACATCATGCACAGTGGCTTCACCATTCTTAAATTTTGGCCAAACTACTTTAACTAGTTTAGTCCCATCAGGGTTCTTCTTGACATCTCGGTGTAGATTGAGATTGAAATGCAAAGCTGAGATGATGTGCCTTTCAAGAGAAAAGTTACATTTTAAAATTGTATGTTATGCATTTGTTTTTGACACTCTGGAGAACATCGTGGAATGAAAAGTACCGTAATTGCAATAAATAAGAAATTATTGTTACATGTATTACTATGAATTGCAGGAGTATACTCACCTACAGTATACCACTGTACAACACTTCAACTATTCTGTGTTGTCTACAATACAGCTCACTGTACATAAAAACACCTTTGTTTTTTTTCAGACAAATTCGTTTGGCATATGTTAAAAATCATTGTTACAGACATGAAAGATGCAGAGGGAAGAAAATTTACACCAAACATGCAAAGTAGTGCTTGATGTTGTGCAGTTGTTCCCTCATGTATTTACCGATAGATGCATGTCTGTCTGTTATCAGAGTTCAAATCACCAGACCACATCCCAAGAGAGATGTCATGCAATTCTTGAATCCAAGGAACTCCATAGCTGGGCTACTACCTGCAACATTCCTCGACAAAAGATAAAATGAATCATCCATTTACAAGTCTGGAGTGAACAAGACATACTTGACAACATTAAATATACATGTATATAAATAGAACATGATAAGTTACGGGCTTAAAGTAAATGTTTACCTGAACAAGGGAGAAGTGAGTGATGAGTGGAGTAGTGCAACAAAATATGGTGTATGCACCATATTTAGCACTATGGCCCATGCTGTCATGACACCCGTCTCCGGCAATGACCACTTTCTGGCCTGCTTCCTTAAGCTGTCTTCTTATCTTTTCTTGAGAGGACTTCCAGAACAACTGGATTGTTGGAAACAGTTTCTCCTACAGGTATGGCAAAAATAATTTTTTTTTAATGATTACATTTAAATTATGATTACTTGGTACAAAAATGTATCCCCACTTACAGACCACAGCCTGGTGAAACATTTCTAAACAGTTACTTGTACTGCATTAATATATTCTCCACACACAACTCGTAAGTACAATGTAATTAGCACAAGTGACTGACATGTTCGTACAGTGTACACATACTATAGAAAGGTAATTCTTAAAAAATACATGACATATATAATATCATATGCCTCATGCTGCACCTGGATGATTGGAGAGGTCTAAGTTATATGTATTTCATGTCTAGTTAATTAAATACGTACTTAGGCTTACACACTGGTGTCTGAAGAATGTGTTCAGGGAAAAACAAGCCACACCCATGTGCTTGAACAGCTGCAACACTTTTGATGCTGAGCTGCCAGATAACAATATTGCCATGCACAGCAGGAAGTTTCCAGCAGGTATTTTGGTTCCTGGCATGTTTGGCTGACTCCTCCAAATAACATCCTTTTTGCTACACTTCTTGTTAGTACAGGTTGAGGTTACGACTGCCATTGTCCCAACTTGCCTTGTCTCTACAAGTGGGTTTTCAGCTTCGCAAAAATGGCAAAATTTGAAGAGCAGTAGTAGTTGTGAAAGAAAAACGATAAACTTTGGCTGTGTCCTTAGGTTATCATCTTTGATATACACTCTGTAAAGAGACCAAATAGTAACAAAACAAATCATACAGTTTTTATCATTTAAATGCACTGAGAAATTCTTCCAAACTCCCCTTGTGTTTGCATCAGGTTGTGTAAGCATGAATGCCATTTTCTGCTTCTTTGATTGAAATATAGACATGAATGTTGCAGATATGTCCAGAAATGCACACGTAACTGAGATGCACGCTCCTTATGATAAGCATCACATGTCCTTATTGGTAGAAAGTCATCAAAACAAGTTCTGTGAAATATGAAGTTATTTAAAAATGCCAGAAAACCCAGCCAAATATAAAGTGCTAGTTAAGCAGTACTTGCATTCATTTCTGGACACAAGTGGAATGTTGATCCATGTAGTCTGTTTACTGTGTGTATAATAAAAATAATAATAATAATAATAAAAGCTTTATTTAAAACTGAAAGACCGATCAGCGAAGTCTGGGAGGAAGACGCTGGTATAAACCGATGATCAGTATCTATAAATTACATGATAAAAAATGATAATCAATCAAACAATACTAAAAAAAAAAATCTAAACACTACATTTATGGTCATTTGGGAGGTCATTCCATTCCTTGGCCGCAGCGTACATGAATGTGGACTGGCCCGTAGCAGTTTTAGTTCTAGGGAGATGAAGTTCTTTGTTGTCTCTCAAGACCTTACCACGGAGGTCGGATCGTAATACAAAGATGAAAAAAAGAACTGACAAACATGTTTAGCTTTTTTAGATGATGGGGTTTGTTTAATGCTGGGCAATGCAGTTTCAGGACTGTAGTCATACTCCTGGTCAGATGCAATAGACAATGAGTCGGAATCTGTTGATTCAGAGGAGTTGTCACTGTGTTCTTCATCATTATCATTTAGATCTTCTGGTCTAGTATTGAGGTCAACACCAATGTTCAAGTCTTCAAATCCTACCAATTCTCCAGTCTGTTTACATAGCACAATCCCTTCCTTTATGGCCATTTCATCCCAGTGAATACCTCCAATCCCCTTACATCCCCTTCATGTCATTTCTCTAAACATGAGTGTTAGATTCTCCTGCGATATTGGGTTTGTTGTACTTGCTGCTTGTCGATATTGTTGAACTGTTTCCGAGTTTGGAATGGGAAGGATTCTTACTATTTCATAGCCTTTTTTGTGGCACTTGCTGGCTATCATGCAGTTCCACTTAATTACAAGAGGATTGTATCTCATCCCTTTTGGGTGTGGTTTTTGTTTGTTTTTAGTAAGATTTCCATGCTTTGCAAATTCCTCTTCCTGTTTCTTTAATGATGTCAATGTTTCAGTGAGGAACGCATAGAGGACAGAATTTTCAGCAAGTCACTGATTCTCAATAGCAATGTCCATTAACTTTGCAAGGTTAGATGACTTGGGGTTGTAATTTTGGGGTGCTTTTATTTTTTTGTTTTGTTTTTGTTTTTGATATAAACTGTAATATTTTTTGTTTTTCTTTGACATTGGGCAACCATTTTGTGTATTTTGGCTCTGGCTATGAGTTCAGCGCAGGAAAGGGTGCTGAGTTTAGTATGTGAATCATGGGCAGTTTTGGATTCAAATGTACTAGATGAAGGTGTTGTCTGCCAATGTAAGCAAGTCCATAGGACATCCTGACAATTGCTGCATCTTATTTTTGAATGCAAATTTAAGATATTTTCTGGGCACAACCTGTACTTCTAATGCATTTCACAACTTGCCCATTTACAACTGTTCCTGTGGTGTCAACAAAATATGACTGGCTTTTGTTCTTTCTTTCTGCAGTTTCAATGAGGGCTGGGTCATAGATACCTGGGCAAACTGGTAAGTGTTCAATTATTTTCTGCATACCACCAAGAGCAGATTTGAATATGTTTGGGTGGAAGATGCTGTGTGGGACTTCACCATAGTCAACTCTGTTACCCAAGAATTGCAGTGTAAATGGACCGAAATCCTTTGCTGAAAGTCTTTTAAGTTCCGAAGGAAGAAAAAATGTCAATTCTTTCCACTTGGTTATTTTGACACCTTTTGCAATGTTTGGGGTAGAAAGAGTAACCTTCATGGTGTTCTCTGTTGATTTTAGGTGTGTAAATGACACTGTCCATGGACATATATCTGACATAACTGTTTGGAAGATTGTATACAATGGCATAGGTGCCACTGTCCCACATTCATTGTATTCACCTTATGTTCCTTGTGAAGTATTTTGCAGAATCTCAGTGAACACTTCTGTGAAAACACCTGCTTTTAATTTTGAAGAGTCAGGCACTGTAACTTCTTTCTTATAATTTATACTGTTTGTCATCTGCAATAACAGCTTGCTTATCTTGTGTTGAAAAAGAATCAAATAGACGTGGGATTGAGTCAATAATATCTTCAGATAAATCCTGCTTTTGAGAATTATCTGAATGTGACTGGGTTGCGGAAGTTACACATCCTTGTTTTTGTTTAAACATGTTTTGAGCTTTTTTGTATTCATTCTCTATTTTAATGGATTTTAAAAAGAAGGGCTGACATGACATACATATATAGTCTATACTATATCCATTGCAAGGATCTTTAAATGTATACAAGTCATTGTGCAAATCTTTCTTATTATCATTTATTTCATCCAAAAAGTTGCAAGCCACCAAAAACTGGTCATTAAAAATAATTATGTTATGTTTCTAGCAGGGAACATCACTGCTTAGGCAAACATTATTGTTACATTGTGAGCATGTCACAATGCATGGTGTTGATTTCAGAATACCTCGCTGGGCATCACTGGGTGATCTTGAAAACTTTTCCCCTTCGCAGACTTGTGCCCTCTAGGTGGTAAACTGCCATAATGTTCATCACATACTCTAAGATTCTTGTCAATTTCAAAATCAGATGTTATGTCCTCAGGGTACATTTCATTTCATACTGCCCGATCATGCTATCAAATTTACGAGAACCAGCCTCATTTTCACATCTCATTAAACAGCATTGTGTACCTCCAATCAACCGTCCATGCATGATCACTGTTCCAGTTATTTCATTCAGAGGTAAAAAATCGTGCAATGGCTTGCCACGACATGACAGCCAATACAGATCACTTGTCACCTTGAATTTGCTATTTACTTGAGATCTTAAATCTCTTACAGTTCCATATGGTGCAAAAGTAAATATGTGGGCTTTACCTGTTATATCAAATACTGAGATGGTTGTCACAATCCTTTTTGGCCTTATCACCATACTTAGCATCAAAGCTCTCCCCCAGTGCTATTACCGACACAACATATGAGCCCACAAGAAACTGATATGATAGGGCTGATATGGTCAAAATAATAGCAACAGCCAACAAGTAAACAGGAGCAGAATGAAGCTCACAGTCTAGTACAGGACTAAATTATGGGTTGTACCAAAGTTGAACAAAATACCATGAAAAACAAGAAGGCATGTTGTAATTAGACTGGAAAGAAAACACTTTGATTTTTTTATGCTAAAAATATTGTACCAGTGAGAATTTGACTTGTGGCTTTATGTGTAACAAAACTTTATAAAGTGGATCAAGCAAAGATAAAAATACTCGCAAAATAATAGCAGGGAATAGCAGTATCTCCAGCACCCAATTCAACAATTTATTGTACTTAACCATTAGTCTTAAGCAAATCCTGTACAGTACATTCCAGTAAAACAGGAAAATAAGTGTAATGATAATAGATGTCAAGGCTAAAATAGAAATAAAGAGGTTTGACATGTAAACGTTTTGGAAAAGTCTTACTTTGAACTGTATTAAAAAAATAGACTATGAAAGAGACTACCATTTCTGGCACATCCATATTTTGACTGAGGAACAAATCATGTACATGTAATGCCCAAGGGGGGTGAGCTGTTTTTTCCTTATAAGATTCTGAAGGGATATAGAGGGAACATGGCAGTTTTGAGAGGCTTGGGAAAGTTAGCGAAGTGACTGCTAACACAGCATGAGCATGCAGGGCAGCCATCACAAGAAGCACAATATAATGAACTTGTGGGCTTAAAAGCCAAGAAATGTCAAATATTAAATCATACAGCAAAAGGCCTGTCACCAAATATATACACAATACCATACTTTTATTCATCATTGTAATTTTCCTCCCATCTTATACTAAAACAATGCACACTTTTTTTTTTACTACACTACTTTTTTTATTTAAGGTTTTTTTTTAACTTATTTTTTCTATTATTTTTTCCTTAATTATGAAAATATTGTTTTATTACACTAGATTAATTTTTAATGTTATTAACTAAATACAATATGATCAACAAGACAGCATTAGCCAGCACAATTTATGCACAGGCAGTCAACAGCCAACAAATACCTTAGGACACAAGGATAAAAGCTACCAATTAAATTTGAATGCAGCCAGTCAAAGATCAGTGCAAAATTTAGACCAATTAGCCAGCAAACTAGCAAAAATTTAAACACACATACAACAGCCACCAAAACATTTTATACCAAGGCAGCCAACAAGGCAGCCATCGAGGCAGCAATTTTTTTCTGACAGGCAATAAACAAGCCACCATGTAAGCCCCTAAATGTAGGTAGTTAGAAAGCCAACAAAATTTGAACACAGGCAATCAAAATGCCAACAGAATTTAACCCCAGTAAGTAGAAAAAGCCAACACTGCCAGGCAGTTAAACGCTAACGCCAACGCCAAATTTAGACCAACAAGCCAACAAAATTAAACACAGTCAGTCGAATTGGCACAGTTTAGGAACAAAGGCCGTCAACTACCCCACAAAATTTAAAAGTACAAGCACAGACCCTTTTCATAAATGGCTGCCAATTTAAAATTCTTTTGTGTGCATTTAAATTAGCCTCACTAAGGGACCGTTCATTTTTTATGAGGGAGGGGGGGCTGGTGGGATTTGGGAAGCACCATTTAAAAATCGCATGACCCCCCTCAGCTTACCAATTTT